ATATCAGTCTACCTAAAACATAGTTTGGTCCTGGAGTAGATGTTATCCTATAAATGGCTTGGTGAACAAGAGGCATTTTGGTGTAGAAGTTAAGTCACCAGGCTAGAAATTAGGAGACTGTGAGTTCTAGTCACACCTTAGGCACAAAGCCAGGTGGGTGACCTTGGGCCAGTCTCTCTCTCTTAGCCATAGGAAGGAGGCCATGGCAAACCACATCCAAAATCTTATCAAGAAAACTGCAGGTACTAGTCTGGACAGTTGCCAGGAGTTAACACAGACTTGAAGGCAGCCCTCCCCCCTCCCCCACAAATGAGTATAATTTCATGTGGTTCTTGAAAGAAGATTGCATGAAGAGTAGTTGAGCATCTCTTGGGAGTGAGTGGCATAATTGAAATGCTGTTACTGATAAGGCCTTACTCATGGACACCATACTAATAACACCACAACCTAAGACTGCCTGACAGAGGAATAGATGAGACCAAGGTATAGCCATCAATAATCTCACATCTTTATTCCTCTGATATGGCCTGATCTCTGCTTCTCCACACCTTCAGGCCTCTCTACAATCCTGCTGATGACAGCATCCATTTCTGTCTTTACTCCTGTGGTACTTCTCAATGTGCTGGCAAGGCTTTCATACCTGGCTTAAATAAAGTTCTTATATCCTGCTAATAACTGAGCAGAATATGGAGTTCCAACTCCTGAAGTATCAAGACTATCTCTGAAAAATCCTCTAGTGATGAGTTGTACTATGACTCTTGGGAGACAGAGGAAACACAGTCTCCTGTTTGGGAAATGCTGGAGGCAAACTCTTTTCCAGAGACAAGGAACTTCTAGAACCTATGACCCTCCTCCTTAACTTAGGCTGTAAGCAAGAGACAAGGCAAGCAGCTGAGGTTAAGAGCTGCCTACTGATTAAGCAGCACCTAAGATGTCCTGCCTGGCAGATTTAAGCAAGCTCACTGTTTGCTGTCTACTGTTTACTCTTGTTGATGCTTGCAACTGAACATATTGTTGAGCACATCTTGAATCTTCACTCAAAGCCTTGAGCTGTTGGATTGTCTTATAACTGTCTCTTCTCACCTGTCTCTTCAATCTGACCTCTGGCATAAAGATTTACAATATTTTATTTATTTTAATGTATTTATTCAAATGTATTATAGTAGTCCAACTCCAATGGAGTCTGATCCTGATATGTCATGGATGTAGACACTATCTGTGCTTCTGATAAGCTGCTTCTCTTCTTCAGCCCTCTGCCTGTTGCTTTCTTGGCTCTTTTCAGTCCTAATCAGCCATCATCTGTCTTGGCCTATAAAACAGGAAACAATGTCTCCATGAAATGACCACCCCAAAGGATGAACCTAACTCATTCTACTACAGTTATGTAGACCCTAAAAGATATGATTTCACTGTCCTGAAAACGTTAAGAAATGCTTTCATCCTGCCAAGAGGCAGGATGAAATTTATCATTCCAGATAATTTACATTAACCATAATCTTCAGTTTCATCAAATCATTTGAGTAAAACATATCACCCAGCAAAGATCTTGCTTTTCATCAAATATATGAAAATATGTGAAATAATTTTCCATGTCGTCTACTGAAGTCCGTGGGTCTATGAAACCATGGTTGTACAAAATTTCTGCATCAACTGAAGATGGGACATTTGCCTTATCCTAATTATTTGCATGTTAGACAAGGAAAATAAATGCATTTGTTTCATATTCCCTTCTACCCTAGCTCTATGCAAGTAGTCTTCTATAGTCCTTTTAGTGGTAAGGACAGTTTTTTGTGTGACTTCTAGTCTCATCAGAACTCCAGTATTTGCAATACATACTTGAGCCAGAACACACAACCTTCATACAATATTTGTCTAAAATCTAGGTAACTCTTCATACACTGTCTTTAGTAAATAATTTAATAACTGAGATAAAAATTTCCTTGTTTTAAGGGTTACTTTTGTTTGTTTGATATTTTGGGAGATACTAATAATGAACATTATTATTTTAACCTGCCAAAGTTAGTAAAAGAAACACAATCTCTGTTCAGTAACTAAAGCATAATGATTGGTTGGATGTAGAGATAGTAAATTTATTTCACTTTCTATAATGTTCACATTTTTTTAAACACAAGGACATTCTGCTCAATTTGAGAGCAGGGTGCACTGTTTTTCCTAATGTTCTTCAATATGTACAGTTCACAATTTGTGTACATATTTTTGATTGGAGGATTGCAACACAAAATTCAGAGAAGTGCTAAAAGCTGAACAATCATTGTGGTTCAATTTACATACAATTTTGGGCAGCGCAAATTAGATCTGTTTATAGTAAAATACAAATCAAGCAAATTTCATCTCCATACTAGTTAGGAGTCATTGTACAAACAACAACAATCACAATAAAACACCTTCTGGCTTTTGGAAAGTTAAGATATTGGAAACAGATAAACTTTGTTTCAAAACACTTTCTGTTGCCCAGTGACAACGCAAAACATATCACATATGCTTAACAACCAGCTTGTACATATTTTGTCTTTACTAAGTTTCTAGGATTTATCAAGCGTAATAATGCATTGCAATATCAGAGGGGATTTCCAGCAGGGACAAATGATGGTGTCTTTCCATCAGCATTTCCCATGTCCTTAATAACAACAACAGAAACCACCAAAATATTTCACATTGTTTAACGATGGAATAAAGACTAACGATGCTCCAAATTCCTTTTATCACAAGTTATGAAATGTTTACACTGGTGCGTTCAAATCACCTTTCCTGGAGCAGAAGTTTGTGGTGTAGTACAACACAAATAGTGTTTCAGATTCCACTCATGCAATTTACCATTTCACTCTCCTTCCTGGCCCCCTCCATTCCATACCCTATCCAGAAAATATTCAGCAGAACTAATTTAGAGGATATACAAGAGGCTGCAGAAAGGATGCAAACTCCTTTGCTCCCAGCTTTGCTGAGAGAAGGAATTCTATCAGTGAAAGAGAACTGTTGTATTCTGCCCTTGTATTGAAATGCCTAGATCATGCCCCTTATCAAATGGTCTAAAGGTGTCTAACAAACAGCACGTTTGTGAAATCAGAATAAGTACAAATATAAAGTAGATGTAAAAGACTATTAGAACTGTTTGGATTGAAACTAGGTAGTACAAGTAATCTGATGTCACTACTACTGAAAAGTCCATATTGGGACAAAGAAACTGAATCTAAATCCAGAATAAGGATTGGTTGCCTGTTGTTGCGAAGTGCTTAATCTGGATGGAGTTTGTAACCTGTTTTAGATTAGGTTGTATTGTCTCTGAAGAATCAACTATGACATCTGGATGTGATCTTGAATCTAGCGGAAAACAGCCATCTCATTCTTCTTCTCAGGACACCTCTCTGTCTTCTGGACCCAGAGGTTTTGCCCTATGTCTTTGTTTTTGGTTCTTACCCCACATAAGTTTCCTCACCTTTTATTATTATTTTTTTTTTGTTCCACATTTGCATGAACACTTTGAATCTGGCCAATCAGTTGACTATCTCTTCTGTGGCAACATAACTGGCTTATTTTCTACAGGAATGTTTTAGAGACTTCAGTTGGAGGCACAGCTCCTATTTAGCCACCCACCCATATAATTCCATATTTTTCCCCTTCAGTTCTTCATGAGAAAATTGATAGTTAGTGACTGAAATGTAATTCAGGTGGAGTAGTATAGACATAGTACTAAATATAATGTAACAGCTGTCAGACTCAACCAATGCTAACAACCCTTCCTGGGGCTGATGTTCCTCTAGAAGGCCTTTTAAAAAAATCTTGCTCATGTGCAAACTTTGCTTTGGGTATATTATTTTCCAATTCTGTCAGGGCGAGACAGACTGTTGCTTTGAGGCGGAGTGCACCTTGAACTGAGCTGAATTCAGTTGTAGGTACAAATTATGCACATTGCCCTTCTATAATAATATTGACAACTCTAAGAGAAAGATTAAAAATCACCATTTCTGAGGGAAATATATATCTTATGCATACACATGTGTTTAATTTGGGATGTTCTGCCTAATTACAAATTATAGTTCTTAAGAATCAACTTCAAGGGGAAATTAAACCAAGGACAAAAAGACTGGTTTCAGTAGACAGTGCTGTGTGCATGAAATGACATTACTCTGTGAGCTTAACAGGTTTTCAAAAACCAAAAGTAAGGCTAAAATTACCCGAGACAGCCATACCTCCTCTTCCCTTTAGGCTCAGATATATGCCTGTAATGTTCCAGAAATCACTTTGGGGAAAAAACAGGAAACTGAAAGGCATTGTTTGATAAGCCTGGTGATGACCAGTGTAATGAACTGATGCTCTGAACAGGACCTCAGTATTTTCCTGACCTTTGGCAATTTTCACCCCTGCTCTGGCAGTGTCAGATATATCACAGAGAGGAATATACTCCATTAGCATGACTTATATATGAGACTTTCCTTTGTCCTATATTACAGTTTACCTTCAACCTTATCTTCATAGCCCATTTCATCTCAAGGTTCTGATTCACTTTTCAGTCAACAGTACTATACAAGGAAAAGTTCCTAGCAATTTCAAAAACCAAGTGCAATTTCAGTAAGAGAGCTGACAAAGGCTTTGAGGAACAAGTTTTGTTTTTTGTTTTGTTTTTTGTTTTGCTTAAAAAAGAAAACATCAAAAGGAAGAAAAACAGCGCAGCTGACAAGCAATTTGTAGAGAGCATGACACATTTTGTACACATATCAGGAAAGTTTACTTGCTAAAAAAGAAAAAAAATGATTTGCTGGATCACTCACACAATTAAGGTTCACCAAGCTAATTGTGCACAGCATAAGAAAAAATATGGAATTGTCTGTAAAGTTATGGGAGACCATATAACTGCAGGTTCCCAAAAACCAGATTTCCCCCATGCAGATTGCCTCATTAGTTTATCTATGATATCAGTATTATTATTATTATTATTATTATTATTATTATTATTATTATTCACTTAAACGATGTTAAATTTGCTTAATCTTTACCTTCCTTTCAGTTTAAATGACCTTCCCTTCCCTTGCTTCATGCCTTTGTGCATCTGTCTGGACTGAGGAGAGAGTTGGATGTCTAAAATTCCATTTTGTTCCTCTTTCAGATCTTCAGCCTAGCAGTGACCTGAGTAGAAGAGAGGGCAGTATTAAAAATGCAGATCTTTGTCTATAAACAATTTTGTTACTCATTTGGAATGAGTAACAACCAAGTCTCGTTAATTGATCTCCAGTTTCTCTTTTAAGCAGCAGTCTGCAAAAAGAAGGCAGGAGCACAAGAAGCCAGCAAGGAGAACCAACATTTCATTTAATGTAATCACAATTAAATACCTTTAACATGATCCAATATTCAGGCATAGTTCCCTTTCTGTCACCCCACAAATTATATTTTGGCTGCAACTTGTGGAGGGGGTTGGGGCCACAACCAAAGCTTTGGGGAGACACAAGCTATTCTGGGTTCCCAGGTTCTTTGCATCTGTTTTATAGGAACAATGTTTTCATCTGTCCCATTGCCCCTTCAATGAACTGTTTCATAGGACTTATCTGTTTAAGACATGAGATAATTTTATGGCCCCTTTGTAGTATCAAGAGACCTAGGATTGTTTCATTTCACACTCTTCCCACCCCTTTTGTCTTTTGATCTCAGCTGTCCACCACCCAAAAATCATACTTAAATGTATGATTTCCCATTTTAAGCAATAGTAAGATTTTTTTTTTTAAATTAAACTTGGGAGGAAAAGAAGAAAAAGAAAAAAGAACTCTGCCCCTTCCTTCTTCTGGACTGTCAGTGTCTTACTCAGTGGAAAATGTGTTAAAGATGTGGTTCAGCTTCAGATAAATCTCAGATCAAATTGGACTGATCTGAACACATTGAGGAGAGGTCTGGATCAAAGCAGGATTTAATCAAAGATGTTTTCCTCCAAACAAGATTGAATCTCAAATTTTCTGAAGTTTTTTAGTGACTTTCTGTTTCAAAAGACATAGAATTTTGAAGGACCCAGAGATGTGATATGTTTTTTCTCAAATTCTCTATCATATAAAAATAGTTATATTTTGCTTGGCACAACAAGCCCTAAACCTATTAATCTGAAACTTGGCAAACTTGAGCCTATCATAAGGGATAGCTTTGCCTTAAAATTTCATCCTGTTCTATTTAGAAATTTTACAAATATATCTGCTGTTGCACCTGTCTGTAATAAATGCTCCATTCTTTTACTGCTGTTGGTTGTAAGAGGATCCAAAACAGATTCAGATATGGATTAGACTTAAAACAAATTGTTTACCAAGTTTAGTGAAACAGCTCAGCTTTATAGATCTCAGTTCTAAGTCTGGCTCATGGGAATTCATCCATCTGTAGTTAGGAGGATTGCAACTATAGTTCTATCACAATTATATACAAGTGAGTCCCAGTGATAATAATGATTCTCAATACAAGCTGTGCGGTTCCAAGATTGGAAATTTCATAAGTGAATACCAACTGTTGTGTTTTATCTGGTTCTTAAGTGAGAGCCAGCCAACTTCCATACTGTATTAAAAAATTACCTCTAGGTCATCAACACCTATATATAGTTACATAACATATTTTTTGAGAAGTAAAAAAGTTTTCCGATTGGGCATGATTTGTTTTCTTTTTGCCCAGCAGGGTTTGCTGATGATAATGGACTCACAGCAGCATACCCTACCTCGATTATTACAGGTCTAATTCAGTCATTAACATTTCATTAATGGAGTAGCCTCCTAGCTGCTTCCATGCCAGTCTAGATATTGATGAGCTCCAGAGCACAGGAAACTGATCATTAAGATGGTTACACATGTAACACTGGCTAAATGGG